GACTCATACATCAGAAACGAAATGTCTTATTTTCAGAAAGCCCTAGTTGTGTTCTGCTGATGAGCTCCCAGAACCAACTGATGCTATCTGCAGTGCGTTGCGAGAAAACGAGTATCTAAAACGCCTCCCCCTCTCCAAAAAAGAAGACAGCCTCCTGGCCCTAATACCCAAGTTTCACGAAAAAACGTAGCCACACTGAGCTGTAGACTATTGCACGTGGTACCAAATTCATTCGACGATGCAAAACTAAGGATCTAGTTCAACACCAGACCTCACTTACGATTGGGAACCAGAGATAGTCTAGCGAGAGATTCTCTCCCGTTTTGTGTGTACTCTTATTCATGTTCCTGTGAAGCGGATTACGTGGGAACAAACACAAGTCGTCCGCCTGAGTGAGTCGAAAAGCACTGTTCCAGATGAATAACGTACCGAATGCAAAACTGCGTAATCAGTACGATCTTGGTCTATCAAATTGATAAGGGGCACAAGCTAACATGAGATTGAGCTTTCAAGTTCATCGAGGTAGTGTCAGAAAGTTGTTCTCAAGTAGTCAAATATCGAATCCCATTCACAGACTGATGATTGTGGTCACATTATCCCGACCGTTCCCATGATAACAACAGCAATGTTTCAAAGCGTCGTTTCTCTTTGTCATGGAACTAACGCCATCTTAACGTGACAATTAACGTACATATAGAAGGGAGAACTTGACTGGAATTAGTTTATGAAGCATACTAAATCATTTGTGTGCATCCGTTGTTCAGATGTCGTCAGTTAAAGCAAACTAGTTCCCTTGCTATACAAACAAATGTGCTCACCAAGCGGATCAGATGTTCCTGTCACAAACGGTGATGGAAGGGAAATGATAAATTTTTATTGTGTTACTCGGGACCCTTATTGCATTCGAGTTAGCGAACATAAGAGAAAACTATGAAAAATTTACTCCGTGTCCTCTGCCACTAGTGATAATGTGTTTAATTGAACTTTGGAAGTGGAACGGCACTAGACGGTGCACATAAGTTCTAGAGACGCCATTTCTTTGTGGAAGTCCGTCACAGGGAGGCCAAAGATTATTCGCGGATACAGAAAATGTAGAAACGATAGTGTGTAACATTAAGCAGGTGTAGTTTTTACTCGTGCTTATCAAGTTTGCATAGACACAACAAATATCAGTTGATGGCGAGGCTCAGAGTTAATAACCCGTGTAACTAGCTTCAATGCGGCGCGTATGCATGCTTCAATTGAGATGGGACCCTGTTTTTACTGCCACCAGTCTGTCACAATCATGACGGAATATGCACCTAAAAGCACAAACGGAACTAAATTTACTTTCATTGAAATCTTTCATGTTGAGGTAGAAAAACAAACGTTCTAATACAAGAATGGTCCATGGGTTTGTCTTCATTTTTCCTTATTTGTCATGGTCTTTTCCGCACACAGTCTACCAGTTTAGCAGTGAAAATGTCCTGTTACTCAAGCCTCATCACAGGTACCATTTTTGACACCAGTAAAAAAGCGCTGGAAGCCCATCGACTTCTCTGTCCAGAACATAGAAAATGTTTCCCAATACTTGTGAAGCTAGGTTGTTAGGAACGAATCTGAAGGTGAAAAATGAACGGACAAATTGTTTTGCCCCGCATATAGTGATGAACCACTTGTGAAAAATGGCGTTGGGCGTGACATTAAAAAATCTTCCCCTACCCATATGTATGTTTCCCTTGATTTCGGGCGATTTTTCAGTCAAAACGGGGGAAATTTTCCGATCATCTAAGGCGCCTCCTAACGAAGTCACCAACAAGGCTGACTATGGTTCATTCTGATCCAAATCAGTGACTATGGTCGATGTTTTACTTTGCTTCACTGTGGGATAACGTGTTGGAATAATTCTTTTTACTACAAATGACTTTTCCCTTCCTCACACGATCTATCACACATTAAATGTACAGCTGAAGAATGAACTTTTGCGCTAAAATGACAGCCTCTATGGTTTGGATCCCCTGATGAAATCAGAGCGTGCCATTCACGGTCAAATGTTTAGTTCAGCCTTCATATCACATGATGCTGGCCGCATTTGAAATTATCACTTTCTCAATTGCAACAAGAGGGATGAATGACCAGGAATATTTTCATGCTAAATTGGAGACAGTCATTTAGGCTACAAAATGTTTCGAACTAACAACGTTCAAATTGACCTCCCTTCCGCGTCCCGGGTCTCCGGTCTATGAATTATGTATTTTCTGGAGCTTTTCAGCTAATTATTCCATGATTTTTGCTTCTTTCTATGCGGTAACATTTAGCATTTTCATTGCAGAGAATTACTACAAACCTTAGTTGAGCCAATTCCCAGAGTTGCCGAAAAAATTAGGCTTGACCAGGCCATATCTTCGCCATTTCAGAAATCATTTAGGTGATTCCCCGCTAGACTGACTGTCTTGTGTACTCAAACTTTCACGGGCGAACATTCGGTCATTCGATCAACCTTGCATTCTGAAGCACCACATTAGAGTTGAGTTAGTGCTTTACAACTGCTCTTATTGCCTCCCGTCCGGGCTGATCTGATTCGCCAAGTTACTTCTGTTCAGGTGTCGACCTCCATGGCAGCCAACAATCCCAAACAGCTTCAAAGGGTTTCTGTCTCATTTAATCTAAACGAATGCCTCGAAGCAAATCAGGTGCTCTCCCCGAGATGTACATAGTGCAATAGGGAATGCTGTGGCGAGGGAAAGGCGTGAACATCAAGGCGAACGAACGAACCAAACAAGGGCCACAGACAAAAGAACAGGTGGCAAATATGCCGGAGACGTCCCGAAGCAGGCAAAAAGAAGCATACAGACGACCAGAGAGTAAGCAGCGGGATCTCCGGCAACCAGCAAGATACCTCAGGTGAAGAGCTGCCGATCGAGCCGTCAACTGAGACAGTCGGGTCAACCGAAGGGAAATGACGGGCAAGAGAAACAAACCATCGGCCACAGGCAAATGGACAGAAAGCAGCCGAAGCGCTCAATCAGCGGCAATAGCAATCTTAATGCCGCGCAGTCTGGAAAAAGGCCTATATAAGCGACTGTATGTGTGCCATGACTGGACTTGTGTGACCGTGGGAATACAAGTATCCTGCCGTGTGTTGTCGTCCTTGTTACAATGGTAATCATACGTAACCCTGCTTAGCAGTAGGTATATATATATAAATCTAAATAAATAGAATATGTATATATATATATATTCTACATGTTTATACAATATACATAAATATATAAAACCATGTACTTGCAAATAGCATGTCAGACTGACGATACTTGGCTTCGAACTCGAATTTTCAGGCAAAGTATCATCTATCGCGAACACTGTTGGCAGGTAATTGCGATGTCTATATATATATATATATATATATATATATATATATATATATATATATATATATATATATATATATATATATATATATATATATATATATATATATATATATATATATATATATATATATATATATATATATATATATATCAGCTTTCTTTCTACCCCAAACTTCTTTGGGGTTTCCAATTTAACTCGCATCATCTTCGCAACTAGCCGGTCCGGATAGCCGTTTTGGATGATGGTTGTTCAAACCGCTTGCAGCTCTTTTCCAACGGTGCCCTCCGAACATATTCTTCTTGCCCTGTTTGTGAGGCAGCAAATTAGATTCTTTCTAATCTTTAGAGGCACAAAGCTGCGGAAGTGAATATACTGCCCATTTCACGTTGCCTTTCTGTTTACCGACCATCTGATTGAGCCGTTTTCAAGTCGATTCATCCGAACTTAAAGAAAGACGATTGTATTGTTTGACTCGGTTTCTATTGTGAGATGTAAGTTTGTTTGAGCTGAGGCAAATCTCTCTAGCAATTGGCTTATGTGGTCTGATGATTTATTACCACAGAAAATGTCATGTATACAACAGAGTTTCAGATTGTAGATTCAAGTGGGCCATTTTCTGACTTTGCAATAAAGACATCCGTAAGTATGGTCCGAATGGGGAGTCTATTTCTACCCAGTCATTTTGACGTTAGATCTGGTTGCTAAATTTAAACTCAATGTTGTATGTGCAGAAAAACAGCAACTGTTTCAGATCTTCTATGGGTATGCCTATATCAATTGTGTTCCTTTCAATAGGTAATCGATGGTTTCACCTATTGAGACGCTGGTAAAACGTGAACTGATGTCTAGTGAAAGATTCCGACATTCTTTCATGTTTGCGTCTTTCACGCAGTTTACGAATTCAATTGTGTCTTTGAGGCTGTACTTCGACATTGCCCGTCTCACCGGTTCCAGTAACCTTGCAAACCATTTAGCCACAGCATGGCATGGTGAAGTACACATGTCGAGGATAGGTCTTAATGGGACTCCACTCTTATGTGTTTTCGGTAACCCGTACAATCTAGGAATGGTTGTTCCCGTAGGGCATATCCGTTCAAACGTGGCTGAGTCTATCATATCTCGTTGCTTCATACGTCACAGCAAGTTGGATAGTGACTTCTCTACTTGTTGTGTCGCAAATTTAGATGCGTCATTCAAAATGGTATCCATTTTCTCAATATAGTCTGACCTGTTGAGAAGCACTATACCTGTTCCCTTGTCGGGCTTTAATATGCTGATGTCACTATTCTTTTTCAGTTCCCTTAATCGTTGCATATGAACTATACTCAGTAATCCTCTTGGTGACGGCTAGGTGTGTGGTATTGATAAATTTATTCATTAATGTGGATTTAAGGTTCTGTAATTCCAGCTGTGACGATGGGAGTAAACCCGACAGTTGAGCATAAATATTCTCAAATTCCACATACAGACCTAGTTGTTTGCTCTGGTTGCTTGGACAGCAAAATTGTGTTCCCAAAGATAAAACTTCTAACAGAGTCTTGTCTAGTTGGAGGTCAAATAAATTGTGAACATTGATATCGATTAAAATGACCAATCAAAGCATACTGCTTATTTTGATCGTAAATCAAACCTTGAATATTACTTCACTAGTAATACAAATAGGGATTGTATTTGAACGAAGAATGCAAATGAAATGCCGTGAGTTTACTGGCTTCGTCCATGCCACAGGTTGGAATATATTCTACGCTTTTCCGACAGTCACTGAGATTGTAGGTATTACCCGTTGTATTCCAGTCCACTCGTTTGAAACGGAAGGTGCTTTCTTGCCACATACTTTTGATTCTGTAAAAACTATACTTGAATATAACTGAGAGCGTATTTCTGTGTGATTGGTAATTTCCCCGCAGCTTCTTGCGACTAAAACATCGGAGCAACTATGCTTCAAGCAAGCAAAAGGTGGCTATGAAAAACGTTTTTCACATTTTTTGAGGTGATCAAATGTGAAAAGTCTTCAGCCTCGGCGGGATTCGAACCCACTCATGGTCACCACCTCCGACGTGGCCTCGTAGCTCAGTTGACAGAGCACTCGCGGTACTCAAGCGAGGGTGGTGACCATGCGTGGGTTCGAATCCCGCCGAGGCTGGGGACTTTTCACATTTGGATCCCCTCAAAACATTATCAAAATCTGCCAAACATCGATACAAGTGTGTGAGAATCAGTGGAATAGCACAGCATTTCAATCATATGATAGTGAATCATGAGTGCGCCTTAGGGCGATGCATGCCCCACTGAAAACTGATAAATTCACGTGAACTGACTATGCAAATCATTCGCAACAAAATGGAATCCACGAGGGCATAAGTGCATGTCTATGCTTGTACAGATAGAAGGGGGAAAATCAAGAGGAACCATTCCTTTTTTCTTGCTTTTAGTTCTGGAAAATATCTATGAGCCAGACAGGGGCTGTGTTCATTAGTTCCATTGTACGGAATTAGCAAAACTTACCATAGAGTTTCCGTAGAGTTTCTGTGGACACGTTTTTGGTGATCAGAATAATGCAAATGAGGACCTACGAAAAATCACATAATTTTTCCTTTTTTTTAGAAACGGCAACCTACCCTACAAGATGGATATCAACTCGCGATCAATGATGAAGCTCTGGAAATAATTCAAACTATAAACTTACCATCTTGCATACAATGGGATTCTAAAAGACCATCGTGTTGGATAAGCCAAATTTCATTGTTCCATATTCATAAAAATGCGCTGATACGAAAAACTGCTAACATCATGTTATAGAATTTGCATGGAAATGTTCGTGATCGCCACATCCTTTCTTGGATGCATTATTCAGTTATCATCTGCTGTACATCAGACCAATCCAAACTCAGTTTTAATCCGATGAAGAAATAATCTCTGGGAGCCATTCATTCCACTGGGCTACTGACCACGAAGTCAGCCAATCACCACTCAGAAGCACACAAATTGTAGTAGCTCATCACGTGGTAGGGGGAATCTGTAACAAGTATTGCTCGCAACAGTTGTAGAACAAACCGAACACGCAGAAGTGTGCACACAGTATGAGAAGACAGGCTTGATTGTGGGCTGTACGGTTCACTCGAAGCTGCCTGGTCCCAATCAGTTCAAGTGACATTCCGGAATTTCGAATAGACTCAATAAACCAACAGCAAGTGCTGTGATCGCTGGATAAAATCTGGCTACCCTATGCCACATACCAGTTTCAGTTTCCAACTGTTGAGGCAGCCAGTTTCGTAATCCAAACCAGGTATCATAACGGATGAAGCTGGTCAGATGTGACTATCGTATATAAAAGGCACACCATCACGGACATCTGCTACCGGAAAATAAAAACATCTTAAGAATGACCGGAGATGTGCGTACAACCATTTATCACCAATGACCTCCACACCAAATTACTAGTGTCTCATTCATGAGTTTCGGCACTACTGTGGTATCGTGCAGGTCTTTGTGTATCACAGCTTCCTCTCATTTACCGTGAAGGATAAAACAGGGGCTTTGGATGGCGTGAATGAATTATAAGACCCAATAAAGTCATGTAAAAGATCTTGGAAATATTTTGGGATAAATATAAAATAACTTACCCAGCTCCAAAATCAGTTTCAACACTACGGGTATGACAAACAGAGATGAAATGAGCAAGGATAACAGAAAAAATTGCAATCAATGGTATACTATTTGTAATCTCACATCGACAGCACTACTGGGAGCAACCCACATTCAGTAACAAGGGCTATCGGTCGATGGCTTGGTTCTTGGCAATAATACATCGTTTGTCTTGTAATTTGATGCTCTCAAACGGTAACAAACCATCATCCGTCCAGCGATCGACACCCGCGATGGTCGTTTTCCGGCAATTGGAAACATGTTTTAGGAAGTGACTTAAAAAGCGCAGAATGTCAGATTGGGGGTTCCAGTTGTTGCGTGCGTCACTCACAATCGCACACGCCGAATTCAATGAGTCTCGCAATTCATACAGATAAAAAATCCATATGAGCATGTTGTTGTTAATTTTGATCCCTTTTGTGACCATCACTGATCACAAAGTAAGGAAAACAATGAAAATTTTTACATATAGACAAAGTGAAGTTCTACTCGTCGAAGAAATTCAAACTTCTGTTTGTAGCCTACCCTCCTGAATCTGACGAAGTACTGCGGGCCTTTCGATATCTGAAACGAGTGGTAAGAAAGAATATATAAATCACGTGACTATTCGGTGGCCAAAATAGAGGCCGTCAATTATGCGATCAAAAACATCATTGAATGTATGAAATACATGATCTGTGAGATGGGATAGGAAAGACGTAAGATGAGGGGGAATATTTCTGATAAAACCTCATGCTCACGGGTTGTCACTTTCTTCTAAGAACCGGTAAAGCGCACAATCAGATAACCCACTGGTGTCTCAATATCGAGATATTCATATCGTAAAGTTTCACAAAACCTCAGAATGAGACCTCAAAAAGGTGAGAATTTGAGTTTGGGAACTTTCGAGTGAGAGAGACTTGGCAACTTTGTAATGCGCAAATGAATCTTGTTCATTTCTTTAATTTCTTCGGAAAAGTGAAGGCAAAGCGAAACACTGCCATTTAAACACGCCATACCTGACCACAGTTACATCAAAGATATTTTAAGCTGGATGTCATGAAATTTGGATGTGTGGCAATTCCTGACAATCTTTCTCTGACTTTGTAATGCCAGTTCCTCATATACACTCACCAGGATAGTTATGATTCCCATTGGTGATGGGTTGTTTTCCTTGTTGTATGTGGTGGGTACCAAGGTGCAGAATCGATGAAGCACGTAACCAAGTTGACACCTAGTTCGTCTGCTGTTCGGTTCGAACTAACTCAGCCGTTGAAATTCATTCAGTTGACATTGTCCCAACAATATGTACAAATCATGCGTAAGTAGCATCATAATACCCATGCCGAATCTGATTTGGTCAACCATTCATAAACCACGAGTGGGCAGTGGTAAACAAATACCTGTTGGAACTGACACGGGTAATCTAGTGATGTTAATCTCCAACTAGTCACCTGTCCTGTATTGAGCAGGTTCTTTTTTTTAAATTTCAAGTCACGAGCCAAAAATGTGGTTTCTCGTCAAACTAACATGCTCATATTGATCTGATCTGTGAAATGCTTTTAGTATTTTCCTGGTGTGAATAAATGAACAATTTGTCACATTTCTTCCTTCGGTTTATTTGATCTGAAACCACTTGTTCGCTCAAAAGTGGCAGTAAAACTCGGAGAAAAGCAGCGTGTATTCACATCACCCACCGTTGCATTGCACTATGTGGTGTGCACCCACATATTACTTGGACATTAGAAGCCTCTAGAACTAGCTATGCACGGCTTACCCATTTGACTATGAAACCAGTTGATCGTCTGATTGAGGTGCTTGCGCTTTGCTTGAATGTGTGGCAGTTCCTATTTGTAATGCCTGTATACGATCATAAAATCCCTTGTAAATTATCTGATCTACCAACCCAGAAGTCATAAGATTGAAAGAACAATTGGCTTCAGTGATATCTGTGCCTGTCCAGCTGATCACACTGAGGATTTCACCTGTATTGCATATAAACAATGGACTTGCCCAGTTTTCCTAACAATCTGCTGTCTACATACAAGTTCAAACAAGACAGAGTGAAATGTAATAAACAGGAATAGCAGTCGTTGATGAATACTTTTATTCGAAAAATATTACCTAATGGCATGTGATACGGATTAGAGTATTACACTTCGATTTTGGACAATCGTGTCACTCTCATCCTAAAATGATTTGCCTCTTAACGCCAGTGCTGAAATGTTAGAGGTTCGAACTTTCCATGAAAAAAAAAATATTTGCGTTATTTATAAAACCAAGTAATCTATGAAATTGATAGACAATGTGATGATCTTTGGTTCGAAACAACTAGGGAGTTACCAATTACAAACAGCCTAATGTACAATGGCTTCTGGTTTGTGCATTTAAAATTGATATTCTGTCAAAACATCAACCAGATTTCATCAGTAACAAGTCGCAGACCACGGGACATTTGCAATGTGTGCTCACATATACTTGCTCAGCTCCAACTACGCATGGCATATTTGGAGTTTACAAAATTAGAGGGACGTATTTTCACATGGAACTGATTGACGACGTGATGCACTGTATCGTTCGGGTTTTGCATGCTCCGAATTCATTTTTCACATCCATGAAAAAGTGTACTAGTTCTTGTCAAGACCACGTTCTGAAACTAACTCATGAACTGATTCGGTGAAAAGTTGTATTCAATGTGAATAAAGGGTGGAGGGTTAAAAAAATTTCATCCAGCAAGATTCAACTTCACCTGTTTGAAACCACATACCTTACGAACTGAATGAATTCATTCTGAGTTCATTATGGGTATCCTCTCACCGAATGGGGTTTTCACGACAAACAAGCCATAGTTATACATTTCAGATCCACCATTATGAAGCCAAATTTTCTGAGACGATATGATGAAGGTAACTGTTGTATATTATGTTATCTGCAAACGCTGATCTCTAACCATGCAGACCATTGGATCTAACAACGGCTGACAAGATTCTGCCAAATTGAAGTTAATAAGTTTAATTTCAAACTGTAAGTGAAATATAATTCGCCGAAAAACAGGACTTCCGGTTCCCATTTGCCAATGTTCTTGACTAGACTGAAACAATAACATCTCTTCTGTATATAAATCAGCAGAATTATAGATAGACAAATGACATCAAATCTAACATACACAGTCTATTCTAGTCACATATTTCGAATTATTCTACGAGTATTCCAAATCAGAATCATCCATTAGGGATAAACGGGACTAAGATATTTCAGATTGATCTGAATAGTAAACATCATTTGCTCCGGCATAGACACCACCCATGCTTCAAGGCCTCTTGTGTCAAGCCAGATAAACTACGAGACTTCGCCGAAGGATGATCGAAATTTGGTGAGGAATTCTATATTACATCAGCACACATGATGTCAGTTCTTGGGATGTGCCACACAGACAACCTAATTATCGGTAAATTCCTTGAAAACGCTTGGCCCTATGAATCATCTACTGTGCATCAGCTAAATTCATAGACGTACTTAGTTAAGTACACATTGGGAGAAATGTCAAATTCTGAACTGAAGGAAACGTTACAGATCATCGGATTGTGTGAGCCATTCAGCCACTGAATTACCGGACAAATATCTGAATAGATGTCTTCAAGTGTGCAGATGGGTGAGGGCTGACCTAAGGGAATTTTTGGCCGAATTTTTGAAGGCGGACGTTCCATTAGTGAAAAGCTTGCCACTCTCCTTTACACCTCAGGTAGTCGTCTGTCTTATTTCTCGCGTAATGCCAATATGGTATACATGAGAACTGATAAATGATAGGAAACACAACAATAACGGTTGAAGTTCAGTACAAGAGCAATGTGGTCAATAACCAGCATGTAGTTCAAAATGTGGGGTGAATTTCATGTATGATGGCTTACAAGGAATCGAAACAACGTATCTTCTCATAGTTCACGTCGCGTGGCCTCCGACAAGCAATGTATCAAATCGCCTTACTAAATCGCATTTTTCTATACGTTTGATAAAACCGAATATTTGGGCAAATAGGTGCCATTAATTCACTTCATACAAACTCCCTTGGATACCACTTCTTATGATTTTTGACAAATGCATCCAGTCTGATTCAACTGTGAGATTGACATGTGGAACCGCAATTCGTATTGCCTGATAAAGCTGATTTGGCGAAGACTAGAGCATATGGACTCACCTCCATCTAAAAGTTAAAAATGACCCGCATGAATCTACGAATTCACGAATTATATTCACCAAAAACTTGCACACAGGATACGAATAACTCAGTTCGCAAATGTCAATTAGACTTATTGTGAAAATTGGGTGGATTTCGTTCAATATTTTCTTACCACTTCTAAGAGCATCGTTGTTTCCATGTAACATGAGGGGGTATTTTTTTAAAATGCGAACATTTCGCACGAAATTGCAAGTAAGAGTCCCGGACAATTGATTGCTCCAAGATGCGAACGCAAACCAGCGGTGGCAGAACTCCGGACTGGGCAGAATCGTGTGAAGTCCAGCTGGTTGACTATCTGACCACCACAACATGATTAGTGTTTGCGACACAGTAAAGACAGTCCCTATAAAATTGACGTATTTTATACACAGTATGTCTTCTTTTCCCAAGCAGCACATGAGTACTTACTTCTCAAATATCTTCCCACTGAGTTCAAATGAATGAATCAAAGTTATTTCGTGAGGCTCATAATTCGATATGTATGAAGTTCGATTCAAATACGCGGTGATTTCTACCCCTTCTGACTGGCTTCCAGCTCTCTGCAGTATAGACATATCCAAACAACCAATCGAATCCCTACTCAACTACATAGTGAAGTTGTGCAATCTTCACCGTTCCTCGAACGAGTCTGACAGGCTGAAAGCATTGATTTGACAGTTGCAACCATGATGTAAACTTTTGGTTACCCTCGGTATGTAACAAAATCTGCCGCGGACATTTTAGCTCGCAACCATCAATAAGGCAAATGAACTCCTCTGCATGTTCCCGTCTATACACAGACAACTTATTTTGTATTGTTGAACCTATATATATGTTTTATAGGAGAAATTACTCTAATCTGTGGGTACACTTGATCACTAATTAAACTGCACGTTACCAGCATCAAGCTACAATATCAGAGAATCTGATTGTAGAATAAAACACCCCATAGAATCGATGTTCTATTGTCCATCATTCTCTATAACTTGGTAAATATTTTGATGGTGAAATGTGTTTATAAAATATAACTACTCTATATTTGGTCATGTGTGGGTAAATCATTGGAAAAAATGTCATTGACATGATTGGCAATGAGTAGAACGCAGTTTGTATCTCAATATGAACCCCAAGTGCATGTCTAAACACAAAGACCGTCGATCAATATTAAAGGTTGTCAAGGGAAACTGTTTGTGGTAAATCATTCCGAAATTCATACAGTTTTACTGAACATGTTCATAGGGTTTACTGAACGAAACCAGAAATAGCAAAAGAATATCCGAGTTAGTTTTGAACGAACACTTGCATTCATTTGCTCAAACGCACCATTAGTGTTATGCTATATTTACAGTAAGATCAAGATTAGAGAGTTTTCATACTCTATGGAGCCATTCAAGGACATTCGGTTGAACGCGAGTTGTTGTCCAGAAAAGTGTAATTGATGAACAAACCAGATTTCGGAGACAAAGCGGCTAACTTACTATCATCCAAGTACGGACCAGCTGAATAAGATTGTTGGATTAGTGTTATTAGTACTCCGTAGTCAAGGCAATGCTCTTACTCCTATGATTGTGTTGATAAATGTTCCGTAATTATGCGTATCACAGTTGCGCGCATGTCTACGACACGTTTAAGTAATAAAAATCTGGGTTCTCTACTTCCCGGCTTAGAAATTAAATTGGCAAAACAATACCTTCAACCGTCTCCCTCTGATTGTCGGTCCGCCTTTATTTATTTATTTATTTCTGTCCGTCTGTCTGACTTCCTGTCTGTCTGTTTTTGCCTAGCTGTTTCTCTCATTATGAAAGACAAATACTACCTGAACTGAGTAGCTCTCGCCTCAGTCGATGATCATCATTCTTATCATTATTTTTCACCATCCGAGATCCTCCATGTAATTAAACGTTTGGAGATAAACGTTTGTTACTGTCAGCCGTGAGATATCAGTTCATCGTACCGCTGGCTAGCAAGAACTAAGTTAATTAAATACGTCGTCGATGCGAGGCATGCGTGTGCTTAGTGGGGGAGGAACACGGTTAACCAATAAATTACAAAAAGACCAAAGATTTATAAGAGAACTCTCCAATGATAATCTCACCGTGGTCCTGCAATCGTTCTATTTCTGAAAAGACAGTGTGCGTTTGTTCTGGGATAGATTTTGTGCCAACTGAGTTATTCGAATCAGTTATTATTCCATCTGACGTTATGATTACATATAACAATGTTTTGAATGAAGCTCCTAAAAGTTTATTTTAATATGCTCATTATTGTCTTTTTCGTTAAAGAAGATGTTTATCTAACGAAGATTTCAGAAAACTACCGAGTTATCGGACGTTTCTATGAAAGTTACGTAAATACTTATTCTTCAGCGAAAACATGTCAAAAATCTATCGAACCGACTTATTTATGCGTACCTTTTCCAGTTCAATGAAAGAAATACTTTACATCCTCTCGTAAGCAAACTAAAGGAGCTTTAGTCCATTTTATTCTTATGCTATCCTGTTGGATTGTATGTAAAAACGTTTATGCAGGCGATTGGGCACGTATCCACACAATCATTTCTACGGAAAAACTAACCCCGATATGCCACTGTATAATAGATTTGAATTTATAATTATTCAGATGTGAATAAGGAAGAAATGATATCTCTAAGGTTAGTGCATTTTAGTGTATAAAAAAGAAAAGCAGTTTTGATCACATTCCACATAATCAGTCAAAATCGATGGTGCTTTCGTCTGTGTTCTTGAAAATCTTCGAATAATATTAAATAAATTACGGAACAATGAGAATTTCGTTTTATAGGTACAATGGTTTTTTCCGAATGGTTCTAATCCACCGTGCGATGAATTTCACTCAATTTATATCTCCCTTAACTGGAGGAGGCTGTAAGGAAATTATCAGAACCAGCATACAAAATCATGAGGTTGGAAGTATTGAATTGTGCTGAGTTCGACCAGTGGTCCATATTATTCTCAAACCTTTCTGGCGCGAATTCATGAAAAACCGTTCCTGTACTGCATCGCTTGTTCTACTTTGCCAGATATTATCATTTTGAATGTCTTCTAGCCTAACCTATCTGATTGAATGTAGAGAAATGGACCTCACATAACGCTTATCGTCTATTTCTAATGCAAAATGACACACACATATGCAATCGATTATACTCAACTGTTCTCATTTCTACTTTTGTGTGCAAAATCCTCCATTACAATCCATGTAATCATAGACCCGGGGTCCTATTCTACTGGTTTACTCTGGCTAGGTATCTCGGCAGTCCAAGTTCGATCTCATACAAAATAATACGGTTGTGTATGGGATCCAGTCATCTGGGAACTATCCGCATCGCTATCTGCGCACACACGACTGGTTGATTATACTGGGAGAACAGAATAATCCAGTGGTCTTGATTGTTATATCAACAAACGAATGACATCGCAGCTTGCTCTCTACATGAATTTTTCATAAGAAGAACCAGAAAATGTACGACGCAAAAGGCCCGTTGTCTTGGTGCGTATCGAAATTCTCAAATTTAGGACCACGGAATCTATTTATTATACTCAACTAACCGTACTTTGCTTGTTATCAATTACGATTCAAAGGGGAAATTGAATAATGATGTTTGAAGTAGTGCGTGCTAACAACGAGAAATAAATCAAAACCCCTAGTCTTACGAGCAATCAGTTCAGAAGACAGCTCGAACGCTTACCTCGGAGAAAATCTGCATAAGGGAAGGTAATCAAAGAATTGATGGTCACCGAAGTGATCATAACAGGTTGACTTGAAATACTGCAACTTTCCGAGGAGCTTAATTTTTACCCATCAATTTCCATTTGTAAACTACGAACGACAAGATTGAATGTAAATAATAAAGTTCCTTTACATTTATGCCAGTGGGAAGTTTTAACTTTTGGATTTCGCGCATGTGATTGACTAAGAAAGTATGCTTATTCGGTCTGTACACAAACTACAGCATTCATCACGCTTCAACGTTCAGGCAGCGACAGATTGTGCACCACACCACATAGGAAAATCATCAAAAATTAAACTGGTGAATTCACTCCATAAGAAGGTTTGAGATCAAGAGGTCGCTGAACTGTTCCGCTTATTTTGGTGATACTCACCGATCCCTTGCCAACAAAAGGCACGTACTGACAAGCATTTCATCAACATGATCGTGTCACTTGATGCGCTAGAATCAACTGATCGGGATCGCTACACAGGTGGGACTCAACGGATTCACGATCAACAGCGTGGCCAGTAACGGAAAAAAGTATTTTCCACCCAGTTGAGAAAAAGAACCAGCATCACAATCAATCAGGCGGGATGATTGTAAGAACCGATAAGCCAATTCGCTTTTCCACATGGATTAGATATGTCCAGTACGCCTTATAAATCACCTTTATATACCATACACTTCGATTCCGAGATGGTTCTGCAGCAAAGATATCTTCTATAAACAACTAGTGGATTATTTCAGAACACATCTTATGTCACATAACAATATCAATAATGTGAAATGTTTAGCAGCGCTTAGGACATTGTCCACTATTAGACTTGCCAAACGAACATCTATTTGAAGAACGTGTTTACATATATATATATATATATATATATATATATATATGTATACTTTCGAAACCCATCTACGGAATTGCGATGATTCTCTCCCATCCATTTGCAGTTCGAAAAATCCCAGTTGCACCAATCAGTGTTCGTTTGTTCAATGTGTGTTCCAGTCAGCAAATATGCATTTTTGCATACGAACTAATGCACCAAAGGCGTATGACTCAACACAGTCCAACCATGGAAAGTGATTATCGTAGTAAGTGTGGCACGTATGATTCACTTCCATTTCGCGTGACCATGTTTGGGGAATTTTTTCCCCAAATCCCGTTGCTCATGGATCATTAGGCGTGTATATACGTTCCTTCATGTGTTCATACCTATATACATGCCATATTTCACATGCCCAATGACCAATACATTTCAGTGCCAATTAGTGTACTTCCTGATTCCATTTCGGGCCATTTGGTCATCACAGTAAGTCAGCAAGAATTATGTCAGTGCTCATTCCAACAAATGTGCTTTATTATCCCTAAAATACTCCTAAAATGAGCATTTGATATTATGATTCACACAAACTGGTATTTGAACTACACGTGTGGCAAATCACATGACCTCAGGGTTAGACCGAGAATTATGAATGTGAAAGCGCAGACTATGATTTCGCTCGAGATTGTCCGTGCTTTCTTGGAAGACACATCCAGAAGCTGCCAAAGTTCAAACAGCATTTCGTATCATTTATTTTCGTCACCAATTGACCACAAACCAACTGTCTTAATTACGTGGTGTCCATTGAAAGATTACTACTGCATTTTCCGTAGCTCATAAAGCTTCCTCAAATAAAGCAAAATGCTGTACCAAATAAAAAATTTCTAGATTTTCTTGATAACCAGTTTTGCTCAAATATCGAATACAACGTCAGACCTTAGTATCCGTCCTATACACTCCGTGTATCAGACACTACAGTCCTGTGTTAATAAAATAAATTTTCCCAAATTCACTCTCAGTATGAGAGCATACCGTGACACAAAATTTAGATCCGCATTAGCAGTGATCAAATCAATAAGGAAATAAAAGATATAAATGGTTCTGACTCGGATTCTCAGAACTAGGTGCAACTTCAAATATATATATATATATATATATATATATATATATATAAAGTGAAGCCAAACGTTTGTTTATCACATCACCGTTCAGTTAGTAAACGTTAAAGACCAATTCCCCAAATGTCACACTGTCATTCACTTGCTAAGCAAGCAGCTGGGTTATTAGAACATGGGTCATAGGTGAATGTGTTCTCGGTGATTTCATTCTCAAGTCATCACAACCACATTTATATGAAGACGAAATAACGAGTTCTCGCTACGTCAGTCTGATGAGATAAGAATAAGGGAGGACGATTCTGGTAAAGCTCGATCTTCGAGAGACTGATGGTAACTGCCCACGCATTCGCTAGTAGCTGAAGTTTAATTGTTCTTGACATTTGTTGCGAGACGTGATATACAATTTTGAAGATCGACAGGATGTCCATCGAATAACCGGTTTCTACCACGTGCGCGTTATTCATGATAAACTGTCATGGTGGGTGATGAGGCCAGCCAACGAAAACATAGCCGTAGCAACAGAAACGAAACGCGCATTGCATGGAGAACACTGATCAACATGCAAATTATTCCTTGACCCATAAATACACACAGTCCTATAGATCCACTTCAAGACTGAGGATCGAAAATTCCAGTTATCTTGGATCCACCTAGGAACCTATATGTTACGAGGAAAGATTTCCTGGTGACACATTCTAGTGCAATTCTCGTTTTGACTTCTACGCATGTAATCAATATATCATGCTTCCCTCTTTTGCTGCTGTTTAGAAACAAGATTGAAAAACACTGCATGGAGTTTCCTATCCAACTTCATTTTAGTTTTTGCAGTAAAGTTTGTCACTAAGACTATTTTGTTTGCCCAAATAAAAGGTTATTTCATGTCTAATCTTAGGTGTTTATACATGGAGGACGAACAAACTGTCGGTGTAAATCGTGAAAATCTGTGCTGGAAGCCTCAAAGGGAACATAAATTTGGTCATCATTCTTGAAAGAGGGCACACATGTTACCGGATGGAATTACCTTTATGCAAAATACCTGTAAAAAAATTGAGTCGTAACATTTTTACTGATGGGTATATAAAGCAAATCAAGGTTGATCATAAGGAATAGAAAACATAAATGTGAATAAAATTCATAGCACTTGAATGAGTATTTAGTCCACGAGTTGTTGTGCTTCGCAACGAACCTTTGGGCTATTTTCAACAGAAGGGAACAGCAAATATACCACGAAATAGATTTTCGGACCTAGAATAATTTCGCAGTTTCTGCTAGCATCTTCTTGATGTTCTCAACGAAACCAGAATAAAGCAGATATAACTGACTTAATTATGTTTTAAGAGGAAAAACCCCGTTCATCTCAGCGTAAAGGAGAGTTAAATGGTCTTCTGTTTCGTGTGTATTCATGACAGTTATCGGCCAAATTACATACTAAAGCCTCTTGCATAGTCTCAACTGACTAATTTCAACCTTCGTTGTAGAGGTTGGCTTTAGCACTAAGCACTGAATATTTATTTAAAAAGACTTCTATCTTGTAGGTTCTTGTGTGATTTCCTATTTCTGTTTGCCTCTTTATGTTACAGCATTTAAATCACGAGAACATGTTTTGCACATTAAATTTATTTCTGCCTGTTGATGGTCCCATTTTTGAATGATTGAGTCACACTGAATATGCAGTGTGCCAGCCTTCATCCAAGATTAGTTTCCGGGATTCTCACATTGTGTTTTCGCTGTCAGCATATACACACGGAGGTACCAGTTCAGTGAGCCTCGATTCTGATCCGTATCACGGATCCAAGTGCGATTGCTTTACGTTTTCAAAGAAGCTTGTGCCTTTTGATTGGATTTTTGGATTACAAACTAAATTTGCTGACGTACTTCCGTTCGGATAAACTGAATTTACTTAATCAGCTCCCACTCCTTTGTTCATGGTCTCCTGGTCAATAAATTGGCAAATCTGTATACGTTTCATCATTGAGAAGCTAAATTTTCTTCGCCAAATTAGCCGAAATTCTATTCGTTCTAACCAGCACAAACGTACTTGATCATTGCTAACGCGACTCTCCCACCAAACACTTGCAATGCTACGTAAGCGGCAGGTATCAGACACAGCCAGGCAGGGGAATATATCATAAAATCTGAGGGACCGTGTTTCCTTAACATACAGCAGTACGTGAATTACGGCGGTATTTTGCATCCAGCCTCTCAAATAATCATAGAAATGCCTGGCGTTCGAAAAAGCTAGTACGGCTTTCAAAATGCTCTTCGATATTTTCCCTCCAACGCAGTTATTTCCACTAATACAGCTTACCCTACGTGAATAAAACTCTGGGTAATTTCCAGCGTTTCATTGCCCAAGTGGGGCGCGGGCACATGTTCTCACCAATCCTGGATTAGCACGTTACACTTAAACCGGGCGAAGTACTTTCCGTATCGAGTCACTTCAGTTATCATGCGATCTGGAGATAATGCCGCAAATGGCCAGACCAACGGTATTGAATCTAGCGTTCACATCACTCTGGAATTCCTTCAGCACGGTAGGCTTCGATAGTCTGAAGATATCAGCTCACGACATCATCTCCATTGTTGTTCCACCAAAACACAAAGTGTGGCATATACCAGTGTGTGATCAGAAGCAAGACTGTTTCCATAGTATGAACAGAAGTTTTGTGAACATCCTGGCTATACGTAGTCAGCCACCATCTTCCTGAGGGTAATCCGAAGATCACGACGGATGTCACCAATTAGCAGAGCGGTGCTGTGTGTTTCTAGAGCCGATGCTGGATAGAAGCAGTTGGTCATGAGAACATAGATTTAAAAGCCTTTCGCCGTAATCCGAGAGACAAAAATTAAGGCAGAGCAAACTCCGAGATGATTTTCATAGACGAGATACTACCGACCTCAGCGTTTGAGTCTCCGATTAGAGTAATGATATTCGTGGTCTGTGCTGTCTTATTAGTTCGCGATGACCTTGATAGGACCAATCGTTCGCAGGATCCGAACTACGATCTTACGGGCATACTCAGAATTCCCAAAGAGGCATCATCTAATAGCTCACTTCTTCTTACGCTGCACGAACCTCCAATTCGTACACCACTTGG